CCCCAAAACCCCAAAACCCCAAAACCCCGAAAACTCCTTTAAAATAGAAACTTATAAAATAATGGAAGAGGTTAAGAAAAGGATCAGACTTTATCGTGGAAATCATTCAAAAATGCTTAGCTCCGACCAGATCAAACCTAAGCATCTTGGTAAGATGAATAAGATCCAAAGGATCTTATTCCAAGATTTTCTGGACCTAAAGGCCCAGAAAAATTGTGAAGAAGATAGCCAGAAAATAAAAGACTTAAAGTATGAAATCGCTAAACTTCAGATTCTAATCGTAAGTATCACATTCTTTGCTTCAGTAAGAATTTTCTTTCATTAGAACATCAAGAAGAAGAATCTCAAGAGAAGGGAATATCTTGAAGAGTTTCTCCAAAATCTTCAAGAAAGGAGAGAAGCTCTTAGGCTCAGGCTCAGGCCCAGCTTGGGCCTGAGCCCAGAGAGTTCTGGCATGCCTGAGAAGGGAATGGGTAAAAGACTGGTTAAAATAAAAACCAAATCCTTGAGAGGTTAGTTACTCAATATATCTTATAGAGATTAGAAAGCAGCAGGAACTGCTCATCATAAATTCCAAGGTAAGAATTTTGCTCAGAATTTGCCTAAAATCTTTGCAGATTCTTAGTGTTCTAATTGAAATTTTATATAGCATCCAGAAAAAGATCGAAGAGAGGTTTTATATGGAAATCTCCAGCTTTGCTATAGCTTGGAAACAGATGACAAAATTAAAGAGATCTATACCAAATAAAGAACAAGCTGATAGCGAAGGATCTGATTATGACGTTATTGATTGGAATGAAGTGAAAGAAGAAAGAAAGAATGACGAAGAGGAAAAAGATCAGCTTTCTTTTAAAGATTTTAATGAGGAAGCACAAAATGAATTAGAATTTAATAATCATATGCCAGATTTATTAAACTCACCACCAAGCAGTGTCGAGCCTGAGTATTATAATAACAGAGGACAGGATATCTCAAAATAAAGAAGATACCTCTAAAATGCCAGAAATTGGCTATATTGATAAAATAAAAAGGCTCGATGGGTTTCTATATAATCTGAAGGACTCAATTGAATTATTTTATCAGAAAAAGCCTAGTCAAAAACTCCACAAAGCTTTATCACACAATTAGCCCACCAATATCTCCCTCCAGAAAACTCTTAACCCGGAAATCTTTTGAAATATCGCCAAACTTCTGCCAAGGCGAAGACTCTCCTATAATCCAAAAAGAGTTCTTTCCAAGTTCTACTTGGAAAGAACTCTTTGGATCATTTCAGCATAAGGCTTTGCTTTTGAGATGTTTTGCGAACATTCTCAAAATTTGTCTGCCTTACCCCATCGGTGAGAACGGAGTTCTCACCGATGGGGCTCAAGAATACACATTGATTCCTTCTTGACAAGCCAATCACGACCACAATAAGCATGCGTACAAAATGCTCATATCTGATCTGGAATTTATGCACAAAGAAGTCTCAAAGCTGGCTGGCAGCCAGCTTTGAGACTCTTGCTACATAGATTTAATAGAGAAATTATGCATTTAGAAAAGAAGCTTTGTAGAAGAAGATTGAGTTTTGGGGATTTTTGTGGTAATTTGGGTTGAGATTTAGGGTAAGAGAGTGGGGAGATAGCACATTTGGGGTTATTTTAGGGGTTCAATAGAGGGAAATTTATGAGGGGTTTTGGGGTTTTGGGGTTTTGGGGTTTTGGGG